GTCACAGAGTTCAGCTGGTTGAAGAATTTTTCCTTCAAAATTGAAGGGATGTTTTCAAGTTTTTCTACATCGCTGTCCCTCGTGCATCGAAGACCAGCTACTGAACATAATTCCACCATAGAGATCTAACATATCTATCGAAAACACAAAACTACAGTTCATCTTTGTTTGGCGAATGAACCTGTCTGAGCAGAAAGTAGTGGATCAACTGGGACTGTAAGGTTATGTGAGGGTAGTCCATAAAATGTCCAAAACATGTACCCCTGAGTATTCTTTGCTAGGCTTCGTTCAGATATATCTTTAGTTTGGTTAGAACGCCCTTTGGCATGGACGTTGTAATCTTCCGAGGAAACCATTTTTCTTGTGGAAGCGTGTATTTCCAAATCTGCAGTAAAGTATGTTATGTCATGTCACACATGTAAATTAACATAAGTCACAATTGACATATGAGAATAAGCACACACAGAGGTCACAGAACACTTCCAAAATGCACTTCCACGATGGAAACCTTCAATGCTATTTCAAAATCAAATAACGGTCACAAATGAACTAAACACCATGTGAAGAAATCAGGTCACAGGTAGGGTATAAATCACCAATACACGTGAAAGGTCACATGCATACATTCACATCCAAAATTGAACTTTCACTGTAAAAAAATTCATGACAGAATTCTGTGATTCCATATACACAAATCATAAAAAAATCGAAATGTTTGATAGAATCGGCGATTGCCAATTGACCCATGCGGTTAACTTCTTCCTTAACTGAATGCCACTAGACCCGTGCGATTTTTGCCTTGTTGTTGGCATTTTGGTGTGGTTGTTTGTTTTCTTCCTCTTGTTTGTACTCACGGGTGTCTGCACCGCCTTCTTGCCCTTCTTTTCATCATTCGTCGTCGCCATTTGTCTTCACTGCCGAATGAATTCTCATAGACAGTATTGAATGCACTGGAAAATGGATGGAGACTTCTCACAGAGGTTTTCTGAACGTGGTGGAAAGAGGGCACGAGAAATGGGGGAGATGAAATCGTGATCAAGAGAAAATAGGGCTTCAATAGATATGGAAGTTGAGATATTAACCATTTTGAAACCAACAATTAACGGGATACACGCGTCATTTAATTTAAAGATTAATTGTTTAATTAAAATTATAAAAACCTGAGAAATAAAAAAAAAGGGTGAAAACCTGACTTTTTAAAAGGTGAAAGAAAACGCCTGATTTCGTGTAATTTCCTCTTTAGTTTTTCACCATGAATTTGCTTTTGAAATGATGTTATTATCAAAATAAGTAATATGCTATATATTTAACTTTATTAGTTTAAAAATATATTTGTTAGAATATTGTTACGAGTGTTCAAAAATATATTATGACCAATGTTTTAAATTTATAGAAAATGATATATAACATTAATATATTAAAAATCAAGTGCGATTTAAGTTAAATTTGAAAATTAAATAAATGAAAGGATGAAGGTGAATATTACAATTTAATTAGTTGTGATTCAAAATCAAATTAGTCAATTCAACATACATTTGGAAAATGATTTTGATAGGCATTTTAACAATTTTTTTGTTATGCCACTATTCCACATTGGAAGTTTATGAAATTAGTGCATCTATTAAATGAGTATGTCATTCAGTAGTTTTTTATGGGCCTTTGAATTGTAATTTATGAGGTCTATTCATGAAGTTAAAATTTTTAAAACTAAAAATGAAAAAAAAAATAAAATGGGGAAAAGCACCAAACCACTACTAGTTCACCGGTTTACGGTTGAACTGACCGGTTCAGTGGGTTTTGAGCAGTTTGTCATAATCATTTAACCTGGCATGATTTTGCCCGATTTTGGGTCCGATTTTTGTTTTACCGTGTGGTTTAGAGTATCTTTTATGGTTCATTAAAAAAAATTAAATTTCAGTCCAGCTTAATGTATCTTTCTGGCTCTACCCCCTGCCTAACATACTTGACACCAGGTCTCGAAGCTTCAACACGATCCTGGACAATTTCATCTTCTTCTAGTTGGAAATTTGTTATATCCATTTTTACGATAAACTCGTTAATTGTCAGAACCTCAGAAGATGAACTGCTTATTAAGAGCCTGTTTGGTAGGGATTTTTGGGGGAAGAATTGATTTTGAATAGTGATATGATGGGAAATGTGTGGTTGAAAAAGAAGAAAAAAGTATTGATGTGATGGAAAATATTATTTTATTGAAGAATGTGTGGTTGAAAATGAGAATTGATTTGAGAATTGATTTGAGAATCAGAAACAAACAGGGCATAAATTAATGGGTTGTGGCGTAACTGGCGTTCCCAAATAAGGTCCGACTGCCGATTCTGGTGCATTAATTTCGTCACATCCAGCACTTCAACACGTAGAGCATATGCTGTTAACTGTGGACCCCTTTTCTTTAGCTCCAAATAGAAAAGCAGTCAGCTGTCATTTGCTATTCTTATTGGGGCATATTCTCACATGCGCTGTACTCAATTTTTAAGGTCTCGGTCCTTTCATTGATTTTCAACTCACTGGATATTATCTCAATAAGTTCCTCATAATTGAAGGCAATTGGTACGAAAAGTTCAAACGTCATTGCATTGCATGTGATGAGCACATTCAATGACCCCATTTCTACACACATAGATTTGTTCAAATTAGAATATCGTTCATACGAATCAAACAATTATGAGGATGTATATGTTTACACCCGTTAAGTTTCTAATACTGAGTTAAAACATCCCTTCGTCCCATTTATATAAGCTTACTTTCCTTATTTTCTTGTCCTAATTATATAATCTTATTTCTTTATTAAGAATGTTTTGTTTTGTCTATTTACTAATATGTATGATTTTATTATCATAATTGACTTGAGAACAATAACGTAGCAAGATATCTCACTTTAAATTTGTCTTTCCATATTTTAGGCTTTGATTTAATGCCTTCTGTTTTGAATTTGTTTGATGATTTCAGTTACAGATACCAAAAGGGAAAGTTTCATGCACAGTAAAATTGTGTTATCCTGATATTTAAGTAGTAATTTTGATTAAAAAAATATATGTAATAGTATAAATTGAATATCTTTATATTAGTAAGGCATATATGAATTTTTCCCATGAAATTAAATGAGTATTTAATTCTATTTATTTATTGTTAAATGACTATCTTTTAATTTAAATTTATTTTATAGCACATGCTAAATAATATTATTCTGGAGAGAAAAAAAGAAGATCGCATGCCTACGTCAAGGGGCAACCAATCAGGGGCGGATCCAGACCATTTGTCTTGTGGGGTCAAAAATGAGAATTCAAAAATATTTAGAATTACATATCATTAATGAAAATAAGTCAATATGCTATTACAATTGTAGCCTACGCGTTTTCATACTCTAAAAACGTCGTATAATTATATCGTTATCAATATTGTTAAGTACATTGTTTTCAATATATGCAACCAAACTATTACTTAACCATTGATCTCCCATCCGACTACGCATTCGATTCTTGACAATTTTCATTGCAGAAAATACTTACAAACAATTCTATTTTAAATCACCAAGTTAGACAAACTGACAAGGCCATTACACTTGGTATGTAAAATAACGCATGATTTTTCACTTAAATTTAACATTTTCACCTACCAAAGAAGGTGGTCGATGAATATGACACCCAACCAGTGACCATATAGTGGTCACTGTTATTAATTTTTAGCGATCGCTTGACCTTTGGTCGTGGAAACACTTGACACGATAAATCCTACTATTTTTTCAGTCAATTTTGTCGAGCACGCAATGATTTTCGCCAATTTGAGAATAATGAATTTCAAATCATTGATGAATAGGTAACCGTTAGAATAGATGAGTGATCAATGGATTAAATTTTGAACTATGCTACAGTGTTAGAATAATTGACATAATAGTTAACATAATATTACATGACATTCTATCATTCTGTTTAAAACAAAGTTGTTTTTTTCATCAAATCAACTCTCGTCATCTAGAATTCTGACACTACTTTTGACATCATTCTTCTAGTTAGGTGGTTTAAATCTTACATACATAATAATGAGGAAAAAGTAAAAACAAAAAATAATGGGGAAAAAGTTAAAAAAAAAACTCAAAAAAAAAAAAAAAATTGTGGGGTCATGTGGGTCCGCCCCTGCAACCAATGAAGGCTCAATATATGAGCCTGTTTGAGCCCATTAGAAGGTTAATAATGCATTTTAGAATACGTGTAATATTATTTTATTGAACAACGTGTGATTGAAAAAAAAAATGTATTTCGAAGAAAATAAAAGTCAAAGAAGTGCATTTTGCGATTCCAGGTAGAAAATTCTAGATGTTGTGGACCCCACCGAAGATTCCTATTAAAATATACACACGTCCATTTCGTCCAACATAACTCCTGCTCCGCTTCCTCAGGACTCGCCTAGTTTTTTGCAATCTACTTCCCAAAACTTCTCTGGGTTTCATCAGGTATTTCCCTTTTTCTAATGCCTGTATGTATATTTATGCGTTTTTAATCTGGTGGAGAATGAATTATAGGTTGAATTTAATTTGTTTTAATAGAACTAGATCTTGGAATTTATGCTGTGATTTTTATGGTTGTGGGCTTTTTTAAGTTAATGATTTGGCTAACTTTACTGGGGCTGTAAAAAAGGGTTCGTTTATGGCGTCGAAACGGATATTGAAGGAACTCAAGGATTTGCAGCAGGACCCTCCTACATCATGCAGTGCTGGTATACTTTTCATCTTTTATGTGCTTATAATAGATTACTTTGGTTTGTGTTCTTTCAATGATTTTAAAGTACTTTAGGATGGGAAAATGTTTAAAAGATGCTAGCTGATAATTTGTTTTCCTTGTTGATTCTATTGATTAAATTGTTATTTGTTCTATGCTGGAAGTTTTCATGTGATGTGATGTGATTTGGATACTGATGATTGGCTGATTGCTATAATGCTTTGCTTTCTGTTTAAATTTCTAAGGACTCGGTAGTGAATCTAGAAACCCATGATTTGTTCCAAGTTCTGCTTTGGGTGATTATGAATTAATTAGTCTTGACTACACGTCTTGCATAATTTGGTAAAACATTTAAATACTGATGCGACTGATACATGAAACCAGATAATCCACGAGAATGAGATGGTTGAAACTAATTCCCTAAGTTTCAACTTTGAGGAGAGTCAGGCAATTGAATAGCAATTTAGTGTACAGATGTGATGCAATTTTCACTAGCACACTGATGTATAGTCCTCTTTGATGCAAATGTGACCTAGATCTGGCAGTGGCATGCATTCATCGTGGATCCCATCTTCATTGTCCTTGTTGAGGTCTCACCTTCAAATTTTTTTCATGTTCATTTTGTATACCCATGTAATCATGTTAACCTATGTATATACTTTGCTGTTTGTGCTCAGTTTCCCTCAACAGGGTATAGCTTCCCACAATCTGTCATCTCGATCTAATCTGATTTATCAGATTGGACATTTACCTGTACTACCTCTAATGGAGATTTTTTCTCAACATTACTTGTGTTTCACTTGTGGGTGAAAGTCTCCGCCGTTCATGGCTTAGCAGTTTTTCTGAAGCTGACTTTATAGTTTATCCTTACTTCATTATGTAATCTTGATCCTATTGGTGTTAGAGATGCGCTGTTTAGTTTTCTAAATTGCTGAGTTTGATTGCCTGTCTGTTTGAGTAGACTTTGATATTTCTTTTTAGGTCTCTGATAGTTATAATATATTAATTTGGTTTAGTGGCTATATTCTATCTAAGTTGCAGTTTCACTCTTTTCACTTTTGATATCTAATGTAGGTCCTGTAGCAGAAGATATGTTCCATTGGCAAGCAACGATTATGGGACCTTCTGATAGCCCTTATTCTGGAGGTGTATTTTTGGTTTCCATTCATTTTCCTCCTGATTACCCTTTTAAGCCTCCAAAGGTATGCTTGTATCCTGTGCATTATTTGTATTGCTACATCCCCGTCTTTTCATCTGCTGACTTCTATTGACCAGGAACTCCAACAGTCAAAAGAAAATTACTGTGCAGACTGTTTCTTTCTTGTATTAGGTCTTGAAACAGCCTTGCATTATCAGTTTCTAAGCTAAACAATATAAACCCATTATTCTGGGGAATGTTTTACCCTGTCCCCAAGTGCAATTTTGCAGATAAAGTTGACGTCAAATCATTCTCTTCTTTTGCTAGTTGTTTTAATCCATCATTATCATTTTCTTTTTCTGTTGTCTTCTTCCAAAATGATTTCATGAAAGTTCATCTTCTTTTCCCTGAACTTATTTTGGTGGCAACCTTTAGTACATATTGATTATTGAGTACAAGAACTGTATATTCGCGTCTTGTTAAAACTATATGAATGTCATTGATAATCACTTGGAAAAACACTATAAGATCTTTTACTTAGCCCTTGTTTGGCTATGATTTAAAATTGGTTAAATCACTTTTTATTCACATATTTTGTGAGACTCTGAAGTACTACTCACTTATCCACTAATCATTTCGATCTATTTAAAATTTAAACCGATTATAAAGAACTTCCAAACATGCTATTATGACTTGTTCGAAAGAGTTTGTTTTTCTTTATCCTCGTATAGTTTGGTGACTTTGTGGTCCCCAAGTTCCTGATTGGTTTTGGGTTCCCATGGAGATCATGTTAAGGAACTCAGTGATCTCAGGTAGTTGATTCGTTTATTGTTTCAGGTTGCATTTAGGACAAAAGTCTTCCATCCAAACATCAATAGCAATGGAAGCATTTGCCTTGATATTCTGAAAGAACAGTGGAGTCCAGCATTGACCATATCTAAGGTATTAAGTTGTTTTCTCTTTTATATCTAACTAGATAACATCATTTCATCACCTGTGGTCATAGCTGTTCAAACTTGGCTTCAAGTAACTTTCACGTATAGGATCTCACACATGCTATCTTTGATTGTTTCTGGAACCTTATTCATTGGCTAGATCATTTAGCTATGTAACAGTTCGCAATGTGTGCTCCAGATTTATGTGACTATTGTTTCATCTGTCTTTCAATTTATTGCTTTTTTGCTGAGACCTGAATGCTGCGGTTGCAAAGCATGGTAAAAATTCTAGAATATTTTAGGTGCCTTTGACTGCATATTGTCCTTGGACCTTAATGATTGACTTTTAGCTTTAGACTGTCTAAATACTTGCACATTTGAAGCTGACACCTGAATACTGCACTTGCAAATTGTGTTAAAAATTCCATTACATTTTAGGTGCTTTTAACTGCATGTATTGTCCTTGGATGTTATATACTTGACTTTAGCTTTAGACTGCTGAATACTTCTGCATTTGAATTTTATTGCTTCTTGTTTGTTTAAAAACCTGATGAAACACACCATATAGATATTATCACTTACTGACTCCAGACTGGGCTTATCAGAGAGAATTAAAGCATATAAAGATGTCGAGGACTAGTAACAAGAGTTTACAGATCTAATATAAATTGAAACTTAAATGGTATTTGCTGTTTGATGAGATGGAGGAGCTACTATAAAGTTGACTATTTCAACTGCAGCATGATACTCGTCAGTTGTCACTTTGGTTAACTTAGTTGTCTCTCTGGAGATGTTTCCTTTTTGGGTGAAGTTTGATATTTATAGTGAACCAATACTGCTAAATTCAACAGATGACCAATTTATTAACAAGCACTCATAGCGGGAGGAAATTTTTTTTAATACTAGATATATGGTTTTGGCGGGAGTTGAACCTTTTTCCCTGTAGTTCCATTCCAAGGCTACTTGAGATATGCCTAGTTAGAATAAGGGCCTGTTTGGTAGGACTTTTGTTTCTACTTTTTATGGAAGAGTTTCGTGAGGAAGTCACTTTGGGTCAACTTCGTTTAAAAGTTCTTCTAATAAGACAAAACACGTCTAAACAAGTACAAAAGTAGCTTCTTAGTCCCGGAAGTTGCTTTTGAAAAGCGCTGCTAAACAGGCACTAATTTACCACAATAGTGAAGGTGACGCAGAGTGAGAAATAGAAAGTAGAAGAGAGGAAATTTCAGAATACTCATAATTCTAGGTCGATCTCAATGTTCTCTGACAACTGAAGTCTTATTACCAATTTGAAGTTGTGTGGAAGGCAGCTACTACTTTATCAATCCACGTCAAAATATTACCTATACCAATATGATTTATTAATCTAATTTATATCTAAACATCTTAAACTACTTTAATTTTCCCTAACATCCCTTTTTCTAATTTCCTTCAAATTGACTCGTTCCATTTAACCAAATTCATCTTGACAAAGAGTTAATGTTGCTTCAGCATAAGTTTATAATTCCTAGGGTTTTGCTAATTTAGTTGTTGAGATAGGGACTTGCGCCTTACAATTGGTCGTCAAACACAATTTAGTTGGTGGTTTGATATCTTCATTGTCCATGCTGCTATAGTTGCAGCGTTGCTATTTTTAAGATTTGAATATGCTTATGTTGCTCCCGTTTCTGTTCTTGCAATCTCCCATTGATCTAATGGATGCATCAACACTTGAATCGATTTGTATCTTAAAAAAAAATAAAATTTGGTATCAGGTCCTCTTGTCCATCTGTTCCTTGTTGACGGACCCAAATCCTGAGGACCCCCTGGTTCCGGAAATAGCTCATATGTACAAGACAGACCGTGCAAAATACGAGGCCACTGCGCGCAGCTGGACACAGAAGTATGCCTTGGGATGATGTTAAAACATTATCCAGCAAGCGTGAACAACTTTGTGAATGGTGTGTTTCATTATGCTTGGGCTAAATAAAATTGTCTGTAAGTTTTTGTTTACATTGCTTCCTTTGATCGAGGCAGGCAATGAACTTCATCCTCAATTTGTGAATAGATATTTCAGGAATTGATTTTGAGAAGGTACTTCTTTTCGATCACTTCATTTCTAATTTTCCACAAATTTTATTAGTTTATCACCAAGAGAACAGCCCGATTTGGAGAACTGCTGCTCCTTTCTCTCGTTGAAGCCATATAGGACACACTTCTTAGAGGTTTAAGGTTTTACAACGTGGTGAGGTCTAACCTATCAAGATATATGCATGAAAATGAGCAAACATTTAGAAATATACATGTCAAAAAGAGATAAAACGGAGCGAGATATATGATTATAAATTTCATTAAGATAAATTTCGCTCCCGCACTGGTAGTAACGTGATTAAACGGAAGTCTATCTCCTAAGGTCTAACGTTTCTTCCAAAATTAATGTCACAATATGGATTTTGTTATAGACAAACCAAAATTTGTTTGTACTCTTAGTCTGGATGATATCAAACACCAAGATATTGAACACTAAAACTCAAAAATAATTTGAGAATTATTTTAACAGAATTTGGAGAAAGAATGAATTGCAAATCAATTATTTGAAATTGCTTTGAAGTGAAGAAATTGAAATTAAGAGGATCTATATGTGTTTTTTCAGTGGTCGCATCTTTGGACAAGAATAATTCATTTTAACTATTGAATCGTACTGTTTTAGATTGGAACATGATTTAACTTCTAAATTGCATCCTGTACAAAGATTCATGACTTTATTATGCTCCTCTTTGAATAGTTGCACCCAATTCAAAAAATTATAAATCTTCAATATGCATCCTTTGCATTTAAAAAGTTGCGTCTAGTCATCGCATTATTTGAAGATTTATTTAAATTCACATATTTTAATATTTATATACATGTAAATTCCAATAAATTTACCAAATACGAACATTTATTCGTCCTGATCACCTGTTATAGTGAAGGATTCCGATTTCACGAACGGAGCCTATGTGGCCCTGTTCGTGTAGCGTAACTCAAATTTCTTTAAGGTGTCTTACAAACTTTACAAGGGGCATGCCAAGTGTCCCACTTATTTGTCCATTTTCTTGGATTGCCGTACTACAAATTCCCTCGAAGAAATCCACCCTAATGTAATTTATCACTTGGTTTATTAAGTTTAGTCCGTGTTAGGTTTAGTTAAAAATCACATTTTAGTAAATTATTTATAAAAGTTGATGAAATATATGATTGAAAACTTGATAAAGATTGTAGATCTCATTAAATTTAGGGTCCGTTTGATTGTAAAGGTGGAAAGAAAATGTTTTACTGGGAATTGAATTGTTTAGAAATTGTTTTACTGGGAATTGTAATTAATTGTGTTTGATTAGTATAATTTTTCACCTGAAAAATGTTGAAAGTTTAGTATCTGTTTGACTTCATTTTTTATGGAAATTGTCAATTTTTTCTACCATTCCGTCTAGAATTTGTTCCAATTACCAAAAAGTTAAAAAAAAAAAAATTTAAAATTAGTAAAAATTTCCATATTAGTTTGACTTTGTTTTGCATAGAAATTATCAACAAAAGTGAAAATTCTTTT